ACACTTCTTTCCTTCTGCTACACATGGACCTCCACAGTCGACATCGGTCTCTCCTGGGTCCTTCTTACGATTATTACAGGTTGCGCCTATAGGAGGAAGACGAGTGTTAAATTGTTATAGACAGAAAAAGATACCTACCAGTACATCGACCTTTTGTGCAGACACCTGTTTTGCAATCTTTATGTTGGTTACACACCTTTCCATTGCTGCAATACTTTCCCTGTGCTGTACAGGGACCGCCACAATCGATATCAGTCTCATCTTGATTTTTCAACTTGTCACTGCATGTGGCAACTGCAAGTTATAAAGAAATGTTAGGCACATGATATATAACAGATAGATAAAGAATTTATGTAATTCGTGTTTATGACGGTCGAAATTTCGGTTGTAGTCAATGTTCATGTTGTACTATTTTTGTGAGATCATGTTTCCGTGAAGTCAATTTCTCCACTGAATCATAATATTGGCGGTTTATAGAGTGAAATGATTTTGATATTCGAAAGTTTGTTGAGAATATGTTTTTATAATCAAGTTTATTTTATCATTTAGTGTGAACCGGTAGATATGGGAATCGAAGAATTTATTCGTATTCTTGTATGGCTCTAGTACTCTCAAAATCACCTTTCAATGGGATTTGTTTCGCTCAAAGTTTTACATACAGGAAGTAATAATAAATTGGGATAGGCAATTGCCGACGCATTTCCGAGAAGTTCGCTGTAGAGAAATTGAAATGATTTTATTTACTTATATGATAAAGAAATCCTGTCGATCGATTTATTCGCTAGAGTTTTTTCTGAGAGAGGGAATCCATTATTTGTCATAGAAACTGGTATGGGCAGTGTTTCATGTCGAGCCCGTCTTGAAGATATGCCTTAAAATAAGAAATTATGATAGTTGACTTTCATTCTGTTGGTCCCACTGTTAGATTTTCAAGGGAAAGCTGGTTACGAATCAATACAATAAGACATCTATCGAACTATCATTTGATACTGGACAAGGTAAGAGTCGAAAATTGAATAGAACATACACAGATTTCTTTCGATATGCTCAGAAAGAAGTCAATAAATATTCTGCTACTGTCCTGTCTGGCTTTGGCTAAACTACGTAATTCATGATGTAAATGAATTACAAATAATTCAAATGTCACATCAAGCTTCTAAAGTATGGACCGAATGTCTAGCAAGATATATTGGGATCTATTCGAGACTACATCAAGGTTCCGTCTGCCCTTCCTTTCCCCTTCCCCCCCCCCCCCCCCCCCCCCCCCCCCCCGTGTGATTATTGGTGTATGTTTGTGTCGCGCTCCATTGCAGATTCTATTAGACTCTTGGATTTCAATCACTCTGAGGTATTTTGTTATTCATAGACATCTATCAGTGTCCTAAACAATTTCATCTGTGCCAGCATTATGCCATGATTTTTTCCTATCGTCCCGGCTAGTTTCATCATAATTTGTTCGCCATGACAGTTCATGACATCCACATATTTGAGAGCTCAATCATACTACTATTAAAACAATTAGGTTGGCCAAATTCCAAACTTTAGCGAAAATTTTCTATCAATTCTTCTACTATTAGATAGTGTGTACAAAATTAGGTTAGAAAAAAAGCTAATTTTCAAAACTCGTTTTGTATTACAAAATCGAATTACTAAGAGCATCGTGCATTTTGGAAAATTTTGCTTGGTGTCGCTCAATATCATTCATTTTTTTTCTAAGTTCCAAGCCATTTTTTCGCAATCAGCGTAGAGAACTAAGTATAGAAATCCTATCGGAGTCTATTGCATTTTTTTAAACCCATTTTGTTTCAGATCTTATGGTTCATAAACAGATATCACTACTGTACCTTTTAAAGATATCTCTTTGTTTTCCAGCATTTTTCAAATCTTCTTTTATTTGTCATTCGAATCGTCTTTCTATATGATGTCAAGCGATACCAAAGTTTTTCTTGCAGTTTTGTTCAGTTCTTTAGAAAATCGCTTTTTTTTTCCATAAAATTTTACGCAATAGAAAAGCTTCCTCTTCGAAAAACTGGTATTCACCGAAATGTGTATATCCCTATGCACATACTGCCTCAAACTGATTTTCGACTAAATCGATCCGCTTATGAGACTTCTAGAGCACTAAAAGTCTCTTTCGAATTAATTTTGTCGGTCTTTGATAAAAAAATTAATGCTAATGTCATATGTACTCAATGCGAAAAAACGAAGGTATTTCAATTTAATTTTTAAATACAGTCAACCTTAAACAGTTTTAAGAGCTAATCATTTGGATAGAAATTTTCGAAATTGATCTAACAGTTAATATGTTGGGGTCCAGATAATGATATACATAGAGAGGCGACTAAAAGTGACCGTCCACTCCCATATATCAACACTGATTTTACCCTCATTGCAATAAGATGGCGTGTTTTCTCTACTTTGTAAAGCAAGCGGAGTATCATTTTCTCTCTATGTTTACAAAATGTCACGTCAAAATATGCATCGATTCATTTATTACTGGCAAAATAATCACATAATGATTTTATTTCAAAGTTCGAAAATTATCGAGCTATTTGTTTTTTACAATTCATTATGCATTCTTTTTAAACTGGAAAAAATTCTTCATAGTATCATAGTCAAAAGAGCAAATTGTGCTCTAAAAGATGACTACGTTTAATTTTAGCTTCTCTTCTGAAAAAAGTCGAAAAAGACTAGTTTTCTAGAATATCTCACATTTGTGATCAAAGTCAATTTTCTTCTCTAATGTTCAGTTAATTTCAAATGTCAACAAGTCATAAGGAAGAACGTCAGACATTATATCAGATATAGCCTTACAACACTTGTTGTATCCCAGAAAGTTCAGCTGCTCGATACTCAACCATATCTCAATCATTCACAAGACACCTTTCATTTATTCATTTTCACATGAAAGAACATATAAGAATACCACAAAATGCTGCAAATTTGTAGTGAATTATTTTTTCTACAAAACTGTGATTGTTCGATTAAAAAGTAGTTTTATTTCTGTGATTCACATATGCTTTCTTGTTGTTAAGTATTATAGACGATAATTTGTAAATAGCCTCAGCAAGAAGTTCTACTAAGATGTCACCAAATGAACAATAAAATTCTTCTAATATCACATAACAGTAGAATGAGTATGAAATATACATGCACATGCCATTGAACATATCATTTTACAGCTCTCTATGACTAGAAATCTGAACAAAACTTCTTGCTGAGGCTATCTATCAATTATCACCTGTAATACCTAACACCAAACAATTATATGTCAGTTGTGAGAATAAAACTACTTTCTAATCCAAAAACCATAGTTTAGAAGAGTAAATAATCCTCTACTAATTTGCACCCTTTTGTAAAATCTCTATATGTTCTTTCATGTGCAAATGAATAAATGCGCACTCTCAAATATAATGCTATGAAGAGTTTTTTCAATTTACGAATTGCATAGACATTTTTAAGCTTATAATTGGTAACTTATAATGGAAAGGATTTACTGGTGGAAAAATTCTCAAAAAAAACCGACTGCTCAAATCACGAATAACTGTCTTTTAGTTAGTAAACACTTTTATTTCTAATCAAGTTCAATGTTAAAATAGACGTTTACCAAAAAAAACAGTTTCATCATGATACATGGCGGCCAGAGTTTATCGAAGTGCTAGCAAGTCGAGAATGACATTTCATAATATCTCATAAATGACTTTTAAATAGCACACGATATACTATCAAGACGTTTCTACTACACTAAAACGTATGCACATTCTAATTTCTTGACTTACGAAATTCGCAGAAGTTGAGGCATTCAATATTCTTTAAATATAAGACTTAACTAGTTGATCAAACTATAGATTTGAATATGATCCCAGAACAAAATAGTAGAGCACTTGAGTTTTTTGACTTTTGTTACTAATTTAAATTCTCAAAACTGAATGACGAAAATATTCATACCAACGCATCGAAAAACTTATGGAATAAAAAGACACTTACCTTTTCGTTTATCACTGTGCGGTGACTCTAATAAAGAATCTGATGACATAGCAGTTGTTTTATTGCATCTGATCAACGTAATTTCACTGCAGCTTCCATCGTCAAATTTGAGTTCCAGCGAAATATTTGAAATATATGTAGCAATACGAGCATGAATAACAGCAACAAAATCGTCTTTGCAAGGTTTATATGTAGCACAGCTTTCTGGACAAACTATATAAATGTTCATGTCTATAATTGAACCATCAGAATCCAACTGATCACAGCTAGGTCTGAAATAGAGTTAGACAGGCATTGAGAATAAATGCACTATTTTAAAAAAATCATGCAAAATAAAGACGCACATGTCATTTTTTTCACTTTGAAGTTGACGGCGACGACGATAATGAACACTTGCCTCACTATTATGTATCACAATAGTTCGGATACTGATCGAGCCTGATTGGATACCATAGACTACTTCTAACTAGAATTTCGTTCAATTTAATTAGTTTATGTATGCATGATAATTAATTGAAATACGATTACTTTTCGAGCAATCTCATCAGTATTGATGACTGTCGTACTCTGATCTTCGTTTGGCAACCAATTTGAGGAGAAGCTTTGCGTCATTTCGTCAAATTCTATGATATAAAGTGAATGATCAAAATGGACAGTCGTTTTTCGGAGCATTTTTGCAAAAAAACTAGGCCATTCCTTGAAAAATTTGCTCGAATATAATCGACATAGAAAAAAAATGATTTACGAACATCAAATAACATTCAATAGAAGAATAATACATTCAATCTGCTCTCTATCATTATCATTCTAGATAGTATGCACGAATGATTATTTCTACAAGACGATGCTTTCTTACCAAAATTTACAAACTTTAAGGTTCTCGTTCTATCTATCTGTGGACATCACTTACGTTTACAGGTAACGTCGACTCTGATGCTGTTTTCTTTCTCAGTTTCTTATAGTACTAGTGATATGTAATATTCAGCATTAAAACAACATACCAAGAAAAGTTTGATCCATCAATGGTCTGTGTTATTCAGTTCTTAGTTTTGATTTTGAGAAATTTAAGAATGATGTTTTTATTCTCTTGTAAAAAAAATATGCCATTTTGACAACTCGGATCAAGCTCTTCGACATATGAGAACGACACTTTTCTAATTTTTTTTCGTCGAAGATCACCACTTCATCCTTCTGATCCTCAGAGATTACCTGGTGACTACTCAGTAGTTTAAAATCTATCGACATGGGAACTTTCATTCATCTTTGATCTAGAAACTAGTCATCCATATATTCTCAATTTTAATTCCATAAATTACTTAGTTACTAATGCTTTGTAAATTGTTATGTGAAATAGAAAATTTGAAAATATACAACAACAAAAGGTAGGACAAATAGTGTTGAAAAAGTGACAAAGTTTCGTACATATGAATCCTACCACGTAATTCATGGTCGAAGTTGCTCAACCGATAGCGTTAGACTTGACAGTTTTTTTCGAATACTATCGAGACAAGAGTTTGACGTGCACTTATGTAAATCGTTTGAAAAAAAAAATTTTTGTAATGTTGAGATTTTGAACTATTACAGAGAGCTCAGATGAAAATTAGTTAGTTCAAGATACTCTCTCTGAAAACTATATTTCGACTACTGTACGTATCTTTTATTTCTTATTTCGACTTTTACTCAAATATATATTTAGCAGAAAATAATTTTGAAAAGATTTATCGTAGTAATATCGGGTGTCCCAAAATGTTTGCACACATTTTATTTAGCATATATCTCAGCATGGAAAACATATAAAAATATTAAATATTTTTAAAAGACGCGCCGTGGGAAGCTCTACAAAAAATGCCGAACCAAATCCCTACTGGTACGTTCTGATGATTTTTCCTATACTTAAAATGAATACCTACATATTGGTACTACTTCCCACGGTATGGAGCACAATAAAAAGTCTTTGAAAAACTTGTTTTGTTTTACAACAGGAGTTCGTTCATTCAGCTTTTTGTAGAGCTTTCGACGGCGCATCTTTGAAAAAAATTCAAACTTTTTATCATTATTCAAAATCGAGATATATGTGAAATATTTTTATTATGCTCAGTACGATCAGAAATAGCACTACCATGTGAGTTGTTCGTTTCCAATATGGGAACAACTATCAGAACAAGTTAATAAGGATATGTTTATGCTGTTTTTATAGAGCTTTTCGTGGAGCATCTTTGAATAAAAAGTTCAAGTTTTTATCATTTTTGAAAGTCGAGTTACATGCAAAATAAAAAAAAGTTGCAAACATTTTGGATCATCTGGTAGCAACATCATGCAGGTTGTTAGTTTCAATCATCCATAAAAACTAACAAATCAAGTCAATAGGAATTTCTCCATGCAGCTTGTGTAGAGCTTTCGACAATAGAGCTTTTAAAAGAAAATTCAAGATTATATCGTTTTCTCAAGTCGAGATATATGTAAAATTAAAAAGTCTTTGAAAGACTCTTTATTATGCTGGAAAATAGCACTTATATGTGGGTGTTCATTTTGAGTATAGGAAAAATCATCAGAACATACCAGTAAGAATTTGGTTCGGCGTTGTTTGTAGATCTATCCACGGCGTTGTTTGTAGAGCTATCCACGGCGTACCTTTTAAAAAAAATTTAATATTTTTATACGTTTTCCATGTTGAGATATATGCTACATAAAATGCGTGCAAACATTTTGGGACACTCGGTATGATAAGCATCTTATAGGAGCTTCAAATGAGCACTTTGGACAAAGTTTTGAGTTTTATTTCTCTCGATCAATGAAAGTTTATCAATTGAAACTTCGCGCATAAGGAGATTCAGATTATTACTCCCACTGGTAAAACTTTGGATAATGTATTTACCTGTCTTTTTGAAGAGCAAATCCAATTAATCTCGATTTTTGACCTAATTCTATTTTACCTAAGAATACGTATTAAAAGTAACCTGCCCTACGGATGTTAGACTAGATGAAGTATTAAGCACCAAATTCACTCGATGATTACATAATGTATAACCTATCATGATATTTCAAGAAACTGATATAATTGATCTTCCAAATCACATACCAAGAATCTGCTCAATCATTCATTCATCTAAGCCATACTCTGAGCCCTTTGTTAAATGAACAGAGATTACAATTTTTAGGGTGTGACTGTGGATGGGAATAAAGCGAAGCAGAAGCCTCACGTCCACACTCTTTTCTTTACTGCAAAGAAATGTTGACAGGCTGCTTTTTAAGAGTTTACGAAAAACCGAATGGCTGTTATTAGTAACTTATGAAATAAATCTACTAAACATATCCACTCAGCCTACGCATCATGCTGTATCTATCAAAAATGCGTGAGCTTTCGATCACTGTTCACTCAAATGCAACAGAGTTTTACATTTTGCTAAGAACTGTTGCATCTTCTGTCATAATCAATTCGAATACTACCTGACGACGCAAAGGACGAAAATGAAGTCTGGACTTGACCTTTCACATTGTATATAATCAGGCTGTACATGGCAGCTGAATTATTGTCGTCTCATGGACTCCTCCCAATTATGTTTCATATGAGAGCTTCTAATGTTAAAACACAACTCAAGACTTTCAACTTGAGAGAATATGTCTGAATGTACCAATGATGTAGTGTTAAAAGAAAACGACTTGACTGTTAGTTTTCTGTTGTTAAGTTTATAGGTCTTCTCAACTGCAAAAATCATACTTTCCCATTTTTATTATTCTCTGGCCTCATCTACAGATATATTTTTGCAAAATGGTTGATTCTAAGTACGGAGTCTATTAAACGCGGTTTATATCTTTCACCATTCTACTGTAGTAACAGTAGCAAAGAATAATATGAGCACTATCTTTTCCATTACCGTTCTTAAGACATTAGGAAATATCGTTCGATTCAATATACATCTTTCATTTGATAATTTGCTTAATCTTTGCATATGAATTTTTGTATATTCTGCGGTTGACATAACACTCGTAAATCATACCTACACTCGTCCGTAGACCTTCAAACAAACAACCAATGAACGCTTGCTAAATCTATATCAGCGTTTTTTTTTTGAAGTAGCATTGCCTGACATTTTAGGACCCGATAGAAAGAACTCGAGAAGGAACTTTTACAATGATCCGATCGATCTAATCAGATCTGAAAAGTCTTACAAAATAGTCAATGGAAAGTTGTGCTCTTTCGAAATAGTTGTTCGTTATACCTAAATTTTGACTATATAGGATAATATGGCTCTAATTAGGTAATCGGAAAAAGGTGGAACGACCTTTGTTCAACGTTATTGCATTTCGAAATTTTCAGTCTTTTTGAATAACATCTTTCTGTATTGATTCGTTTCTAAATACTGTTCATAGGCTACCTAGAATATTCAACTCTCTTGAGAGCTAAATATTGCGAACATGAAAGAATTGCATTTGCTGCAACTTTTCATACACTATAACAACCGGCAAATCCTTTTTCTGAACAAAATTATAGATGACAATGGTATTATTCAATTTCTGTAAACAACTGTTACCATAGACAAAAAAAATGATAAACTGGCCATGAATCAAGAAGGAAAACCCAACTAGTTGAATGATGAATTAAGTCGTATGACAGAAAATTTTTATCATTTGCAGATTTTCCTGTGGGAGCTCATCGTTACGCTTGATACTCGATTATCCGAATGAAATATGCTTTGTAGCAATTTTATATTCACTCGAAAGGTGTACTATTTATCGTGATCTAAATAACTTCGATGTTGCAAGTCTTATGATTGATCTGTTTCGGAGGATTAATCGTTAGGCTTAATGAAATGTAACAAAATATTTTCCAAAACCCAGAAAAAGCAAATGATTAATAACAATTGAGAACGAGTGATGATCTGGATGAACCACATGAAAAAAAAACAAGCTTTTTTTATGCAAACTATACTATACCAACACATTCTATGATTCAAATGTGGGTTTGCATTATAACGGGTGGAGCAAAAGTTCTGCATTAATTTTGTTTTTGACATAGTACTATGATGGAATATCGTAGAGATTTCATTGTTTTTTGTTAGAAAGAGTGAAGTGCCTAATGCAAAAATATATGAAAGAATTTACTTGAAAATGTTTCTCAAAGGCTATACAAGTTTTAATATAAAAGACATCAGAAATGTTTTCATTTAATTATATATTTATTCGTCTCATCCCACCTGTACAATGTAGGGATTGAGCACTGTTCATGTAAAAAAAGCGACTCTATATGTTTCATAACTATCAAAATAAACAGTTTTATAATATCGTCTGGTATCAATATTTTTCATCATTGTCGATTATAGGCAAAAGAACAAAGTCTATTTAGACAGAGAGAGAGAGAAAGAGTGAGTTTGCCAGAAGCAATAAATTTTATATAAAAAGGAAACCTTATTGAGTCCTCTGCCAAACGATATTATTTGGAATAGGACACAGGTTCTCTGTGATATATTCAATCAAACATGTTTTTTGCTGTTGTACATCCCATATCCGCCAAAGTGAGCTTTTAAATCTAATTGTCTGCTGTTTATTGTCTTGTGTGCTACATCAATTATATTAGTACCACATTAAAGCCTTCATTGTAATGAACAGCTGTA